CTCCACCAAATCAAAATCAAAACCAACAGCAATCACAAAAAAATCAGAGTCCGCAACGCCAAATAGATCCCCAATCACAATAAGCGAGTCTGTTGGGCGATGCAAAAAAAGAACCTTGCCAATTTCCTTCGTACAAATACAAATCCACCTCTTTACTATCTTCCAGCCAAATTGTCTCCATCTGTAATTCAAACTATTGAAATACAGCAGCGACAAGTGGCATTAGAAACTTCATCATTAATAACTTATAGTGAAAATGGAAACAATGAAGAGTGCATTGTTGTTAATGATTTTGAGATTACTGGACGCAATAACATTGAAAAGTCGGATGTTAAAGCACGTGACGAAATTAAGATGGAAGTTGATAAACATGAAGAGAAAAACGAAAACAAATCACCAAAAGAGAGTATCGAAAATGATACTCTTACAAAAGAGTCGTCAGCTAATGAACCAATGGAAACTACGGTAAGTAATAATGGGGAAGATGTCAAAACTGAGGAACCAGCGGCCAATGCTGATAGTAAAGATGATCCTGTTGAATACTAATTTCGGTTTGTATCATACACTTTATGGTTTACTGCGTTATTTTTTTCAAAATCAGTATTTTTTGATAGATAAATTAGTAATTGGAAATCGCGAATATAATAAAGTAAAAAATTATTTGTTAAAAAATTAATTGCAAAAATATAAAAATCTTTTTTTAGAATAATCAACCAAAAAATGAGGGACTTTTAAAGATTTTCATTATTGTATCCAACCATAACCTTTTATTAGTTTATTAATATTGGTAATTTATACACCCGCTTTATGAAGTACATAATTAAAAATTACTATACAAGTTGCTTATTAAAATGATATAACTTAATGGATGATAGTCTATTTTTGTATCTTTGTTATTACATTAAACATTTAATATTAATGTTAGAAAACTTTTATAGCGTCATCCATAAGTTGATCGAGTTCCTGCGTAAAAAAATAAAAATAAAATAAAAAATTTTGATTAATATAGGTAAAACCTGATTTGTAATAATAAAAATAAAAAGATCAATTTAAAAATTTCGTTCTTACTTGTTCTAATTGATCTAATTCATTGTTAACATTATCAAAAACCTCCCTAATGTCATTTCTAATGTCTCCAAGTCTAAGTGTGCTTAATATTTTTTCAGGGTCCTCATGTATTTGCCACCCACTTCTTCTCCTTTCCTTTAATTCTAACATATTTACTCCGGATCTGACAAGTATTAATAATTCTTGTAATCCGAAATCATCAGTTAATATCCAATCACTGTCTGTAAATGAAGAAGCAGTAGATGATTTTCTAAATAATGGAAGGTGATTTCCTGGTGTTATTGAATCTAAGGTAGTATTAGTGTTTATAGAGTTATTTGATGCAGAAGAGAATGATCTTTGTCTGGATTTTTGAGGTGTTCGAGAAAGTAACTCTTGAGATTGAGATCTTTCTATTGTTAATGATGGTAAATTTTTATATTTTGAAGAATATAATTCTGATACTGAATCATTATCTTCATCATCAAAATCATTACTAAAATCATCAGGTGTCGCATTATAACGTGTTGGTGATGGAATAGACCAACCACTTGATAAACTATTAGAACGTTCATTAATTATTGGTGTATCTTTTTGTGAATTGTTAATAATTAAATTTTGTGAATTGTTAATATTTGAATTTTGTGAATTATTAATAATTGAATTTTGTGAATTATTAATAATTGAATTTTGTTGAAATGATTGTTCTGGTGTTTCATGTTTATTACGTAAAGCAGTTGCAAGATTTGGTATCATACCATTACTATATCGATCAACTTGTTGTAATACACGTTCAATTCTTTCCTCAAAGGATTTTATAACGTTCCCATTATTATTATGCGCACTATTTATCATCTTTACTAAAATATCTACATCTTGTGTTGTGCTTTTACGATATTGATCATTTTTCTTTTTGTTTTGCTTTTCATTATAAGGATCATTGAAGGATAAATCACTTTGATCATCCGAATTTAGTACTTCATCATCATCACCCCAAATATCTTCAATAAGATTACTAATATCAAATTCTTTTCCTTGTGTTGGAATAAAAGAATATCGAATTTTTGCTCCAAAAATACGAGAACTTCGAATTGCACCAGCTTTTGTAACAATATCAATACCTTGTGATGTATTTTTATGCGCAGAAAGAATAGATCTTTGTTTTTCACGACTATATTCACGTTGTTGTTCTATAAGTTGTTTACGTGTATTTGTTATGTCATCATTGGTTTTTTGTTCACCTGATTTATTGAAAATATGTGATTGTGTTTGAATTCGTCTTGAATGTCGAGAAATTTCTGAAACTGCAGGCATTGCACGTGTTTGACGATCTTCAGGTCGTAAAAGTCTTAAAACGAACATTGGTTCATCTGGTCGATAATCCAATGCCAGAGATGATGATGAATCCACAGAATCTACTGATAAATGATGAAGTCTTGGAGCTGTTGGATAAACTGAAATTATATTTATTTCAGAAGAAAGGAGTTTTTCTAACAAATATATATATATATATACATGTGAATAAATATTAGTAAATTTTATTATTTTTAAAAGTTATTATGATAGGAATATGAAGATATTTACCTTCTCCGTCAACAATCATCATTAATTGATATCGTGGTTTTTCATCATTATCTGAAATCCTTTTACCATCATCAACGATACCATCATTAATTTCAAGTTTTTCCATAGCTTTTTCTATGACTTGCCTAACAGTTGAAAGTCCAGATACTACAATAGCTTTTTCTCTAGGTTTACCTTCTTCTCTAGAACGTCGCCTTGCAGCCTTTTCAGCGAGATGTTTAGGAACAGACATAGAAGTTCTTGGTACGTGTTGTTGTTGTTTATTATTCCTTAAATGAACAGGTAAATCATCATTATAAATCAATACCCGTACACGTAATTTTCTTTCACTTGAAGATCGACTGCCTCTTTTTGTACGTCTATTTAAATAGAATGTAATAATGCCCTTATCATTTTGTAATTCTAAGTTTTTAATTACACTAATATCAGATAAATTTGAAGTAGTTGAGGAAATAGATTCAATAGAGCTCCTTCTTATCGAAGGTAATGTAACAGCATTAGAAGATGTTAATGAATGAAAGACATCAAGTGGGAGATCATCAGACATTAATTGAATTTGATCTATGTAAAAAAAAATAATAATAATAAAATTAATATTTACATGATAACTATAAAAAAAATAAAACAAACATTTATAAAGAAATTTTAAAATAATACCTTTATTAGTTTCTTTGATTGTTATGTAATAACTTTCCCAATCATCTGCATTCAAATTGAATCGGTGCAATGCTTGCTTAATGAGTGTAGAAGTGATTGTAGTTTGACTTAATAAAATTAATTTTGATCCTTCATTGGATGAAATATTTTGACCTGCAAATATTCGAATTACATTGTAAAAAGGATCAACAGGTGTCAAAGGAGTCAAAGGAGTAATTGATCTTTCAGATGGTGTATGCTGAACGACTCTTATGGGAGATGGAGAAGTTTTTAATTTAATTGATTTAACAGCATCTTGTGTAGGGACTTGTAAAGCATCTTGCTGAACCGAGCCGGAATCACGTTGAATTACTTGAACAGGAGGTTCATGACTTGACACTTGTTGAACTTTTGGATATTCTCGTTTTGATGATTGTTGCTGTGTCTGGGGCTGTTTTAGATTTGGAGATTGTTGTTGTGACTGATGTTGAATCTGAGATTGATTTTGAGATTTATTTTGAGATAAGTTTTGAGATTGGTTTTGAGATTGGTTTCGTTGTGATCGGGGATCTATTTGGCGTTGCGGACTCTGATTTTTTTGTGATTGCTGTTGGTTTTGATTTTGATTTGGTGGAGAACCAACTTGTTGAAGTTGTGACCGATTTTGTAGGGAACTAGCCCGTGGAGATGATTGATTCGACGAAGAACCAGGTTGAGATGATCGATTCGACGAAGAACCAGGTTGAGAAGACCGTTGCTGATTTGTCAAAGGACTGGGACGCTGAGCTTTGGCGTTATTTTGCGGGGGTGGCGTAGAAGATGGTTGATTATTTTGCTTAGTATTATCAACCATAGGAGAAACCTGTTTGACAGGTTCTTCTTCCTTTTTCTTTGACTTTCTTTTAAAGAAGTGCCTAAATATACCACCACTCTCTTTCTTCTTCTCTTCTTTCTTCGGTTTCCCGGATTTTTTATCATCTGATACATCTACATTTTTAATAGATTCACTAGGAGTTATATTAGTTTTTATAGGCTCGTTATTGTTATTCGCCTTCTCGAAAGATTTTGTTTTCGTATTATTTATTTCATCTTCCTCATCCGAGAAATCAATGAAGTCACTACCTAAAGCTGGAGTCAAAGACATTTTAATAGTCCCATTCTTATTATTTATAACATCTTGTATTTTATTATTCAAAGAATTAGTAGTGCGCGACGATTGATCATATTTTGAATTATTTTCTAACTGTACAGATTGTGTTCTCGCTTGCAATGGTTGTGATGCCTGCTGTGATATAGTTGATTGTGATTGTTCATATTGTTTATTCTTTTCTTGCCTATATTGTTGATTTGTTTCTTCATATTGTTGATCATCCGCTCTTTTAATATCTAATTCAACATTTTCACTTCCTGCTGATTGAATAGAAGTTTTTGATATTCTATTATTCTCTTGACTCATATTACTCAAAGAATGATCACTTTCAGAGTCTATTATTTGCTGATCAGCATAGTCCAGTTCTTCGGGTTCACTCACTAATTGTACTTTCTCATGTTGTACGACTGATTGTGTAGTAACTTCAATTCTACCAACATAGTGTTCATCATCCTCATCATCTTCTTCGTCATCCTCATAATATTCGTCATCAGATGCTTCCGCTACAAAAAATAATGGAGAAGCAAAAGTGACAGCCTTTACTTGATTGGTTGAAATTTGTTTAGAAAGCGAATTATCCGATTCAGTATTGTTTTGTGATGATGTTAACTTTAATTCAATAAAATAATTAATTTTTAAAATTTTAAATAGTAAACTAGAAATATAATATCAAGAATTTCACTTACACTTATGTTTCGATGCTTATTTAATCTTGCTAGTCTTTCGTATGGTGTCTGAAAATCACGTGAAATTAGATAATGAACAGAATTTTTTTATAAAGAAATTTATCACATACCTCAATATTTTCAGCAGGTATATAACCAATTTCATCACTTGGTAAAACTTTAACTAGCCACCAATAGCTATTTGAGTCATCTAATAAATTTAATGAATCACCTTTTTCAACAGTAGCCTGACCTTCGACGGTAGCGTGAAAGGAATGTAAAGCATAAACTAGAGTAAAATCAATTTCTTCTTCAATAATTGAAGGAGAAGATGTAAGATAGTCATCATCATCGATACTTGAACGATTATCGTTGTTATCCACTAAAGTTGTATCATCATCATAATCATCGATTTCATCTTCTGATCCAGCTCCCTTATAACGAGAGGATTTTGATGTAGGTTTTTGTACACGTGAAGCAGCAACAGTATCAATAGATAAGTTATGACCTCGAACCATGATTGATGTATTGTAAAATGAAAGATCTAAATATGATTATTGAAAATTTTGATCTCATGAAAAATGTAAAAAATCCTTACACTCGAATGTAAGTACAAAAAAATGTACAATTTCTATATATTTTATATATGATTTAAAGTTTAGTGTTTCAAAAAAAGAATGAATTTATGCATAGATGCGAATTTACTAATTTTACATATATAATAGCATAAATTTAGAGAAAACAGGAAATATTTCTTAAATGTAAACTTTCTCAATATAAAAGGAATTTCTCAAATCCGAAAATCATTTCCGAATCTATTTTATGCAAAAGAAATTTTCTCTATTGGTGTTTCAAGGCATTAATTTACGCATAAATGTTTAAATGCTATTCATATTGGTGGAATAATGACGATGCATGACGTTTCACGCGAAATCTTGATTTCAAGTAAAATGGCTAATATAATATTGGAGGTTTTTGATGTTTCAAATGAGTTAAAAAGTAATATTTTAATTTGTTGAAAATATTATTAGCCAATTGGGAATTTGTTTCTCATTTGTTGTCTTATATGAAATCTGTTAATTAGATTTTCTGATTTCCTTTTGTGGAACCTTATAAGCAACTTATTGGTGACGTTTATTAGTATTATACATACGTACATGATACGGAATGTTCGTTTTCCGGGGCCGAATATGCTAGTTAAACCTTGTTTACTAATGAATTTTTAATACGTATTTCTCTCTCTCATTCATGATATATATATTTTTTTCATATAATTTATTATCTGTTACGTATTATTTTTTAGTATTTAAATTTAAGGAACGCCTATTTCCACCATATGACCGGAATTAGAATAGTATTTATCTTTAATAATTTGTTATATAATTAAACATGGTTGAAATAGCAAATTACTATGGTCGAAACTGGCGTTTCCTTAATTTATTTTTCTTAAATATTTTATATTATTGTTTATTAATATCATAAACTGATAAAGTATTTATCTTTTAAAAGTTAAAACTAGATTTATTATATATTTATTGTAAACTTTTTTAGCTATATAGTAAGTTTTATTTGTTAATTTCCCAGTATTACTAGTATACATTGTTATTTTTTTAAAGCTATACTAATTATATCATATGTGTGTTTGCTTACAAGTTTATAATTTGTCGGACTAAACATTTTAGATTTTATAGTGATACATGAAATAAACTTGTAAGCCAGAGGTCTGGTTTTCCTTGGCGACACTCGTATCTAAAATCTGCTTTAAGTTTTTTAAACTCTTTAATTCGTCTGGTCCGGTCCAGGTCAGAATGGACGGGTAAGTGTAGGGTTGTTAATTTGCATGTAAGTTATAAAACTGACTTAAGTTTCTTTTTAACTGACTTAAGTTTCTTTTTAGCTGACGTAAATTACATTATGTAAGTTATCTTTTCTTATTTCTTAGTTAAGAATCCTTCGGATTGCTTTCAATAAAATGTCAACTTTACTCGTATTTTAGATCGTTTATAGATTATTCAAACTTCTGAGAGTAACTTAATAAGCACAGCAACTTTTGTTACTAGACAATAAGTAAACTTGCAAATTTTGTACCAATATAAGCACACATGGTATTAATTTTTGTAATGACACTCAAAATGTCTTTTATAAACGATTACTTACTTTCCTCGAATAAATATGAAGATATAAAAATATTTGGTTAATTTCCTGAGGAAAGTACTCATACGTAACTTCAAAAAAAAGACAAAAAAAAATTGAAATGGTTATAATGAATAAAAAAAAAAGGCATCGTATATACTCTTTCACCGAGTTCAAAGGTATATTTGCAAGCAGTACTGGTTAGAAACAACGAAATTAGTAATTTCAATAAAACTCGATACAATATTAATTAATTGATAGATTCACAAGGAAAGGATACAGGGTTAATACGTTAGAAGATAGAACTGATTATCTTTAATATATTTTTGATCATTATAAATCGATCTTTTTTAATGCCAGCTAATTTAAACGATTATATAAATAAACGGTTAAACGATTAAAGAAATTCTAGGCGGTTCCAATTCCTAGTCTACCTCGGAACTTTTCGAATGTTCAAACTTTGACTTAATGACGCCCATATTTATTCATAATGCTAACCTGCTTAATATCTTATGTTTGTAACTAAATGAAGGTATGGTTGTTACAGTACAACTTGCCTGACAACGTAACTTATAATGTGTAAGTTAGCGTTGTGGGCGAAATTTCCGAAATATGTTTCTCCCAAAGACCTGAAATACGATTATTCCGAAACCGGCAAAACCTGGCGAAATAGGCAAAAATTCCGAAACTTGGCGAAATGTCTGAAATCTAAAATAGAAAAATATCCGGCGCGAGTGAAACAGAGTGAAGAGTCCAAAGCTCAGTCAGATTGGATAGGTGTGAACAGGTCCCACAGCTACCCAAGAATATCAAAAATTATTGGTAACATAACATTACAACCAATAGAATTTTACGCATGTATTAGCAAAAAAATTTTTAAAAACTATTAGGCCAAATTTGATGAATATTTTTTTTTATACGTAAAATTCAAAATAAAATAGAAATCTCATCGATAGTTGTTTTTTAAAAAAAACTTAAAATGTCTGTCAAAATATGTTACGCCAAATTTTTTAAAATTTGAACAAAGATATCTTGACCCTACTTGACTAAATTCGATGAAAAAAATTTTTATTTGAATTCAAAGAATCTTAAAAAATTGTTTATCGAATTTGGTCTAGTTATTGAGATAATTTTGGAATTCAAATTAAAAAAAAAAAAAAAAAAAAAAAAAAAAAAAAAAAATTATAGAATTTGGTCAGGTAGTTGTCTAGATATCTTCGCTCAAAAAAATTTGGCGCAACTTCTATTTTTGATAGACGTTGAGTTTTTTAAAACTTTGAACAAAGATATCTCGATAAACTTGACCAATTCGATAAAAAATTTTTCATTTTAATTCTGAATTTTTAAAATTCAAATAAAAAAAGTTTGATCAAGGAGGTTTGAAATACATGCGTAAAATTCTATTGGTTGAAATGTTGTGTTACCGATAATTTTTTGGTGGTACGTATTCTTTATTTCTTGGAATAGTTGTGGAACCTATTCACAACATCCAACCAGATTGAGCTTTGGCTGACTATTTCAAAATATATAACGATAATAAAAAAATCAATACGTATCTAATTTTAGATTTTGCTACATTTCGGTTTCGCCCGTTTCGGAAATTTCGGAAATTTCGGATTTATTTCGTTTTTGGAGGTTTCGGTTTCGTCTTTCGGATTTTGAAAATGGATTTCGCCCGCAACACTAGTGTAAATTAATTTAAGTTATAAATAGAAGAGATTAAATTGGAAGCTTTAAGATTCAATTTTGGCTAGCATTAATGATAAACATAGGGACTCTGAAAAGTTCCGAGGTAGACTATCAATGAATCTAAAATACGAACAAGGATGGACAAATTTCATTGTGAATAATATAAAAGCCAAGAAAAATTATAACTTACATAATTTTTACATCAGCTAAAAAAGTAAAATGGTAAAATTTTAGTGATTTCGATTTGGGCAAAATTTATCAAAATTTTAACTGTTGTCTACTAGCTCTCAGGACCCGGGCGTTGCCCCGGGTGCTAGTCTTTGATTTTTTTTTAAAAAAATTTTATGTTAATTTTTTAGGTTTATTTAAACCCGAATTTGGGTTTATTTGAACCTGAATTTAGGTTTATTTGAACCCGAATTCAGGTTCTTTGAACCCGAATTCATGTTTTCTTTAACCCGAATTCAGGTTCTTTGAACTTGAATTTAGTTTCTCTTGAACCCGAATTTAGGTTCTCTTGAACCTGAATTCAGATTCTCCTGAATCTGAATTCAAGTTCTCTTGAACCCGAACTCAGGTTCTTTGAACCCAAACTCAGGTTCTTTGAATCCGAATTCGAAGATCTTAAATTTTTTAAAACTAGAAAAAAATCTGTTGCTTTATTTGTAGTATAATAATTAACATATCTTGAAGCCTTGTTACAATTAGATATAATCAAACCTCCTATTAGTGAAGAAATAAAATCTAAATTTGAAGATAATTATCTTGATATAGAAGTTTATATCACTATGTTTCATAGTGCATACTAGTTAGCATTTAATAAGTTTAAAAAACGTATCAATTAACATTCTGCATTGCCTTTATTTAAAGCAATTTAATGCTTTAATCCACAATATATTCATATTCAACAACATTGTCAAAATATTAATTTATATTCAGAAATTCAAGAATTTAAATCATCAAGCAATCAAATTATTCAAGAGTGGAGAATTTATTGTAGATTAAATGAAGATTTTTCTGATATTGAAAATTCTGATTTAAATAATTACTGGAAAGAAAAACTTTGAAGTTTACCCAACTTATCAAAACTAGCCTTAAATTATATTTGGCCTTCAGTATCAGGTGTAGATGTAGAACAAAGTTTTTCTGCATATAAAAATATCCTTGATGATAACTGGCATTCACTTTCTAAAACATCTATTGAAGCATTAAATTTTATGTACTTTAATAGTAATACAGAAGAATATAATTAATAAGAGAACTTTATTAAAAATGTAATTGAACATTTTTTTTTTTTTCAAAATTTAAATTCGATTAGTTTTTTTTTTTTTTTTTAGTAAAAAAAAAATACATAAATATTATATATATATATATAAGATTATATATCGATATGATTTCTTTGTTTTAATTAACAATGACAATAATATTCAAAATTTTCAGAATTCTAGTCACATATAAGTGGTCGCATATTTCTGCATATTTCTACCTTATTCGCATATATTTTTAAAAATTTATTACATAATTTCGCATAAATGAACAGGTAAAGCATACATAATTTGGGTTGATTACCGCATAAAACCTGCGTAGGACATTATTATAGAGAGGAAATTGTATAACAGAATTCGATCATCACGCATTTTGGACTGATAAGCAATGGCAGGCTGCACTGACTGCAACTGTAGTTCATGTAATTCATGAATATTAACAATATTTCTATGTTTTAGCATTTATTAATGTCTTCGGGAAATTTTCTCTATTTAACGATCTCACAGACTTATTCCAATTTTTGATGTCGCTAAATCGATCATAAATGATCACCGTAACGACAAAGCATTTAATCTAATGTTATCATATATAGAGTCGTGTTTAAACCTATATTAGATAATTATAGCTTTGTTTATTATTTATTTCTGAATAAACGGCATCAATTTATAAGACTGGAAGTAACGGTACGAATTTTAGACAGGTAGAGTCATCTTGTATCTTCGACTTCACTACACTCCCACTAATTATTTTAAATTACACAATTCAATTCCAATTGCGAATTTTATACAGGTATGAGCAATGTTTCTTTTATTTATATATAATAGAAATTTGCACTACTATATTCAAAGATTAATAATTGAATCTTTTAGAAAAGATGACTGATGTTACCCCGACACAAGCGTTTAACATTATCTCGAACGCGTTAAGAAATATCTTGAATGATCTGCATAATATTACACCTGTGGTTCGACCATATCAACTACCATGTGAAATTGAAAGTCCGTTAAAAGAAGTATGGAGTGAACTTCAAAAAGCCAGTGATTTAGACGATCAAATTAATATGATGGTTTACGCTTTCTTTTTGTGGGAACTATTAAAATCAGTAACTAAGTCAGAAAGGAATTATTATATTAAAAAATTGGAAATTAGTAGATATTTCATTAGTGCATCTAAGAGAATTTTTTATACTTTTGAGGATATTGGGGTTGAACAAATTAATAAGATCTCTACTATAAAATTAAGACTGTTTACCAGACTACACAAAGACGACTATAAGAACTTGTTACGACAAATCTCTCAAGGTATATATCTGATGTCTATTAAATCATCATTTTCTAAATTGGGTAGTTGATTGATAGTAATAATTACTCCAGGCCTTCCTCAATATACTACAAACATGCTAGGAGCACCTAATTTAACTCTTATGCCGCCGCCTCCATATAATTACGAAATGAACACACCTAATAATTTATCAAGTAATATGATTCAATATGATACAGCAGGCTTATCGGGTTGAGGAAATTAACTGCAATTATTTGGCTATATTTAATTTATTACTTATACAGCCACATAGAGTCAATTAATTGCAAAATGTTGTAATATGATAAAATATGTAATAATAGACATATATGGGGTCTTTGCCTTGAAAATCAAGTTTTTTAATCATATGATTTTCTATGTCCCGTAAGGTCATTTTCAAGGCAAAGACCCCATATGATGTCAAAAATTACAGGTTAAAAAAAAAACCTTATACATAATTACATAAAGAAATCATAATTTTTTTCAGTTTCAATATCAAGAATAGAGTGTTCTAAAGTCTAAAACTTTATATCTTAGCATCGTTTACAGTGAAAGTAAAAATTGAATTGCAATTATTTTGTTATTAATTGGTTACAATTATTTTTCATAATAACTTTAATCGCATACATGTAAGATAAAATTTAATTGCAATTAATTTTTCGGTATACCTGTAATACAGAATAGGAAGTTTTTAACGTGATACCGCTAATGATATGTAGTCCTTCAAAAAATATTAATAATACTGATCTACAATTCTTATTAAAAATTTTTATGATATACTCACTTGTTAGCGTCGACGGGCGAAAAATATTTAAATTCTTTTTGGACGGACGAAAAGTATTCTAAATTCTTTTGTACAGTTTGGACGGATGAAGATATTTAAAATTCTCTTGAACGGGCGAAAGGATGGACGAAAGGTATTTTATTTTTTTTAACAAAATTAGGTTTGTTTCTTGTTAAATTTGTGAAAGTATTTGAAAAAGAAAATGTGAATGTGATTATAAAGCGATCATATATACAGTATATGAAAAAGGTCGGTGCTTACGTCAGAAGCATCGGATAACCGTGTTATCAGTTAAATTGTAGGCGATAAATATTATCGTCTATCAACATAACCGATAACAAGTACTTATGCAACGTTAACGGTTGGCTTGCGTGTTAAAAATTTTATAAAAAATTCGAGTTGTTCGAGTCATGAATTGACGAGTCAATTCACTAGTAGAAGTAAGTTCTTAATACCCTGGTTTAACTCACACATGACTTTCGTCAGGAAACCCATTAGTATATTATAATCACAGTAGGAAATGTGGCATGTAAAACCCGAATAAAAAGTAGTACGCTTAACATTCTGCATGATGGAACACTTTAAGTCTAGCCAATTATAATACAAAACTTTTATTTGGTGTATGCAAATTTAAAGCTTTATTAGGACGATTTTAACGCTCACTAGAGGTGAACTTCACCAGATATGCTATTTATCAAAACGGCTTTAGTAATTGATATTTGGCGTATTAAGTAAAAATGCTCAGCACCTTAACCTATAGCTTGAATTTAAGCTCTAACCCTAACTTTAAAGATAAATTTTTAACATGAAATTTGTGATAAAATTTTCTACGTATAAATCATATAATAATAATTAGTAACATATAGTGGTGAATTTTACCTCTGGCGAATATTAAATAAATTCATTTTATTAAATTTTATATTATTAAAAGTTGAAATAAATTTGAAGTCGATAATTATATAAGAAACTCATCATAAATTATATTTTAAATTTAAAAAAAGTTTATATTTTTTTAAACAAATTGATAGTAAATATAAAAAGTTGGTCAAGTATAACTTAAATTTAAATCAAAATGCTTAACTTGAATCTTAAAAGATAATTTATAACTTAAAACTTCATAAGATTTTTTATATTTCTACTAACTTCTTTTTATATATTTTATTTATAGGAAAGTTATATTTATAACACTATGTTATATAATATCATACTATTAAATATATAATATACTAAAAACTTATACTCTTACCTTAATCTAGTTTACATAATTATTATATATAAGATGTTATATAACATAGGTGTTATGAATATAATATTTCTTATTTATAATTAAATAAAAATACAAGTTTACTAAAAGCTATTAAATTTTTTTTTTTTATTATTTATTTATTTATTTATTTGTTTATTTTTTCAATATCTCAAAATTTCACTTATGAAACTACTCTTGAAGCTCTAATTAAAAAAATTTCTTGCTAAATTTTGCATATATTAATGTCTAGATAAAATCTCAGGCATCGCCCTAACCCTAAAATAATCAAAAGTTATTTTTTTTATAATATTCTGAAATTAGGTTAAATATGATTGGCGAGGATCTTTTTTTTTTTATAGTCAACTATAGTATCATACGTGAAACTTAAGATGCAAAAGTTCAAGAAACTAAATGTGAAACAAGTGTTTTGGTGGGTTGTAAGGTGATTCGGCAGCCCAAGCAATTGCGAGTGTGTAGGGATGTTAAATGTATGGTCCAGTCTGGTCCTAGTTCGTCCTGGTCCTGAACTAGTTAGGAACTAGTTCAATACAGCAATATTAATTATTACATTACGATTTAAAATTCACCAATCGGAGT